TTGGGGGGCTTGTGTAGAACCTCTCATGCAGTGGGGGGCAGGCAGGACTGTCTCCTGCCCGGCAGCACCCACTGAGCACCTGGGCTTATTTTTAACAAGTGCCAGGAGCTGGGGCGGGGGGCGGGGGGAGCCATTGCTGGGCTGGGAGAGCAGGCAGGGGATGGGCCTGGCTGTTTCAGAGATTTGGCAGCAGCCAAATCAGATTCAGGCGAATCTGATCAAGACAAGCAGTGGGGGGCAGGCAGGACTGTCTCCTGCCCGGCAGCACCCACTGAGCACCTGGGCTTATTTTTAACAAGTGCCAGGAGCTGGGGCGGGGGGCGGGGGGAGCCATTGCTGGGCTGGGAGAGCAGGCAGGGGATGGGCCTGGCTGTTTCAGAGATTTGGCAGCAGCCAAATCAGATTCAGGCGAATCTGATCAAGACAATGATTCAAATCACCAAATTGAATCACTGTCCCCTGAATCGGCCAAATCTGAAGCGAATACTAGCCACTTTGCACAGGCCAACCGAATAGAGCAAAAGAGTCCTTCCCTTGATTTGTAGGTGAGACTCCTATTATTACAACCCAGTATGCTATTGGCTTTTGAGGATTTTTTGTTTTTTGCAACAAGAGTGCACAGTTGGCCCATATGCAGCTTATGCTCTGCCATTACCCTCTCGTCCTTAATGCTGCAGTCTAGCCAGTCACTCCCCAGTCTGTATTCATGCACATAATTATTCCATCCCAAGTTCAGGATTGCACTTGTCCTTGTTTAATCTCATCTGATTGTGGACTATTTCTCCAGTCTATCCAGGTCATTCTGGATCCTAGCCCTGCTCTCTGGAGCATCTGCGATTGCCCCTGTCATCCACAAATTTGCTAAGTGTGCACTCAATCTGATAATCCAAATCATCAGTGAAGGTATTGAACAATACTGGACCTAGAGCAGAGACCCTTGGGCATGAGTATGATAACCTCCTCCCAACTAGATGATGAGGCATTAAGAACTACTTGATGAGTATGATGATCCAACCAGTTATGTATAAAGAATGTAAATAGTTAAACAACAATTATATTTCTACCATTTATCACTTACCATTTACTGTTTAGTGACCTCCAGCAGGAACTGCCCTTATGTCTTCACCATGCTCCAGGGCCCCAGGGTGCTGGCAGAGAGCCATGGGTGGGAGGCAGTAGGTGCAGCTGAGCCACTAGGAGGCACTGCCCAGCTGCAGACCCATGGCTTCTCCTCACCCCCATGGACTGGGGCTGTAGACCTCTTATGCCCGGATCCTGCCACCACAGGGAGGGAGGTGCGTGCCAGACCCCCCACAGAGGCCATGTGGGGCCTTCCAGCTGCAGCAGCAAGACTCCCAGCTGTGAAGTGAGTCTGCCTGCCCCCTCTCCTTCTCTCCACAGTGGTGGGACCTGGGCAGAGCAACGAGCTCCCTATGCCTCCCGCTGTGCTTGTGCCACTGCAGCCCAGACCTGGAAGGCTTGTCCACATTGCCAGGGCCAGAGCCCAGACTGTGGAGTTACCGCCAACCCCATGTCAGGCCTGGGCCAGGCCCTGTGCAGCCCCAGCACTATAGGCAGGAGGGGTAAGGATGCAGCGCAGCCAGCGGAGGCCACCTTGCTGGGACCAGACCTTTCCCCTTCCCCCAGGGTGAGCAGCGCAGAGGAGCCTTCCAAGTCTGGGCCATAGCAGCATGAGCATGGCAGGAGGAACAGGGAGCATGTCGCCCTGCCTGAGCCCCACCACTGCAGGGGGGCCAGGCAGACCCACTGTGCAAGAGGAGTCTTGCTGCTGTGATGGGAAGGCCCCACCTGATCCCTGTGGGGAGCCTGGCACCTCCCTCCTTCCCTCCCCGTGGCAGCAGGATCTGGGCACAGGAGAGGTCTGCAGCCCCAGCTCTGTCCACAGCCCCAGCCCCAGGGGGGTGAGGGGAAGCCAGGGCTCTGCAGCTGGGCAGTGGTCCCTAGTGGCTCAGCTGCACCTGCCACCCTCTGCCTATGGCTCCCTGCCAGCAGCCTGGGGCCTGCTCAGTGCTGGGCAGATGGTGAAGACATAAGGAGCCAGGTCCAAGACCGTTTGTGCCAAAGGTCACTAAACTAGGTATGAGCTATTGGTTAACCATTTAACTGATATAACTGGAAGAGATCAAATGGAGAACTTTTAAATTATATTTACATCCCTATCATGTATCCACTTTTGCTAACTGCACTTTGCTAATTCACCCATGTGTTTTTATTTGAAGCTTTCGCTTTGTCAGTAGACAACTACAGGTTAGACTTGGAGGAATTGGAAGTCTGCTGTCCAGTATACTATACATTATTCCCACTAGCATCCTGATCTGAATTTTACAAAGTTTACCATGGGCCAGACCAAGATTCAGGATCCAAACACTTCTGCACCTTGGCATCTACAGACCTTGGACCCTGAACTAAAATCAGCAGCTCTCTAATCCAGTGATCCTCAGCCAGGGTACAGCAGCACCTGGGGGTGTCTTGAGATCCTTTCATGGGTGCCATGGAATGCCATATAATTTAGCACTATTTGGCATGGAAACAAGATTCACAAGATAAACCCAGAGATTTCAAATTGATTTTAACACTGTGGATTTCTTTCTAAGCTGTTGTGGTCTTTCTGAGTTCTTTCCAATGGAAAAAATATTCTTGACTTAGAAAATCTATAATTCAAGTACTACTAATTCAAGTACTACCTTTTTCCTAAGAATTTTTCTGTAGATGTTGTGAGCAAATAAAGAGCCAACAGACAGAAGGGCTGAATCTGCAGAAGACATGACAGCAGCAGCAATAGCTCCCAAGCCACCAATGGAAATGTATGACGGACAGAGATAGTGCAGAACAAATGGCAGTATCATGGCTGATTCTCCTTTCTCTAATGGGCTTGGAAGACCGTAGCTTGTCTGATTCCAGTCTTTAAAACAGAACAGAGAAATGTCATGTTAAATATTTAATTCTTTTTTTTCTTCAAAGCTGTATATTTTACAAGCAGCCATCCTATCTTTGCATTGCTAAGGACGGGAACCTTCTGTTCTGGCACAAAGGGTGCAGACACATAAAAATTTAACCTTTTCAAGAATGTCACTGATTGGGAAATGGTCACAGTTGTTCCATGTCAGAAGTGTCTGTACATAAACTAACAAATGTTCTAAATATTGTATTTTCTTGCATGCAAAATACCCCGGAATATAATATACACCTTGTTTTTGAATGGATGAATGAAGTGAAAAAAAGATTTCTCCAGATAACTTAACTTAATTTTCAGCTGACTCATCCTCCCTTCCTTGCTTAACTACAACTGAACCCCTAGCTGTTGCTGAAAACTGGTCTATACAATTTATTCTAAAAAGAGCTAGAATCTGAGCTAAAGAGGCTGTGAAATAGAAGAAGAGCAACCTGGGGCAGATTGCAAACAGCAAAATTGCCCTGAAAAGGTTAGCTTGCATAGTGGAACATATAGACCATTGAAGGGGGAGATGGTTGTTAACACCTTTAGAGTGAAGAACACCAGTCATTATGTCAATTGACTCCCTCAGCTGCCTGGGAGGAAGTTCTCCTATTCCAGGCAGAAAATCAGCTTCCCCCTCCCCACCCCTTTAAAGCATGTACCCCAATTTTGCAGGGGAAAGTGTGCATTGGAAGTGAGAAAATATGACAGAACTGCCAAATATGATGGAACCTTTTAGGCTCTGCAGTGCTATCAAACAACCACCAGGAGATGGTAGTGAGTAGCCAGCCCAATGACAATTTTCTGCTTTCCCTTCTCACTGCTAATGAGTTCAATAAAGACCGTTCCAGCACTTCACTAAAATCTCTGTGGTGATACCCTGACTGGGGTACCTAAGTGCCATAGCGGGGTACCTGGAGTCCTGCTTCTGGGTTCCCAGGGAGCTGGGCATTTAGGGGTGGTTAGAGTATTTGCATCTTTTAAAGAGCACTTTCTTCCAAACCACTCATTTAGGGTATGGTACATGCCAGGCTGATTGGGGAGTGGAGGCATAGTGAGATGGGTAATGAGGGACACTTCCTCAACCCTTTCTTCTGTTTTTCCAGGGTGGAGGGTGGGAAGGTGCTGCCCAAGGTCTCTGAATCTTGCTGTGGCTTTAAAAGGACCTTCCCTACAAAGCCACTCAGTTACTTTCATAGCCTTCACTTAACCCTGGTCTGTAGTGTCCCAGGCTGATTTGCTGCTCAGGTGGGTTGTGGGGTATTGATGCAGTTATGTAGAGTTGTGTGTAGGGTAGGGCAGGCGGCTGTGTGGACTGGGTGTGGAGGGTAAGCAACAATTAACAATGAATAAGCTAGTTCACTTTGACCAGGCATGGAATTGCCATCCATTCTGTAGTATTAATTGAAGTGGCTCAAGCTTTATCACTTGGTGGGCACTATCTGTTAACGATGCATCTAGTTACCTGCCCACCCAACCACAAACCATACACCTCCACCAAGAACCCAGAAGCAGGGGTCTAGGCAGTGCACCCCCCCCCCAACCTTGAAATGGCCATCCTCCCATGTTCACCCCTGTCCCAAAACCAGCCTAGATGCTGCAAATCTGGGATCCATTGCCAACAAATTAAAGGCTTTTGAGGAAAGTGCTCTTTTAAAGCCGCGGTGTGAGAGAGACGGCATGTAGTGCCCGCTTTGCTTCTGCAGCCCCCAGAAGCAATGGTTCAGGCAGCTACCCCTCCACCTGACCACCCTTTCCCTCCTCTCCAAATCAGCCTGGGATGCCATGGATTTCTGTCAAGTACAAACAGTAAAGGTTTAGGTAGTCGAGCTCTGGCTCTGTACCAGAGCAGCCAGTTGTTGTGCAGGCATTGGGGTGGGGGTGAGGAGTGGTGCGGCGTGCCTGGAGGACTGACCAGACACTAGACACAGAAACTTGGAGTCCACACAGAACACTGAGCCAGTTCATCAGGACCAGTTCAAATACTACCTGATTATCTAAGTATCCCTTTGAAATGTTCCCGGAGGTTTAAAGTGTTCTAAACTGGCTTGTACTTCTGGATGATTGATGTTTAAATCCCATTTTAAATAGTGTAAATATGTGTTTGCACCCTTAAATTAGATTGTTTCACTTCAAATAATTATAAACCCTGAAGCAGGAGCACTGGAAAACCTTGCAAGTTTAAATAGAAAACCCTCATATATTGTTTGCAAAATCCTATTATTGGTTAACAGTCAGGGAAACAGTTTACTGCTGTGTGAACTGGCCTTAAAATGAGCTAGGGATTGTTAGTCTGCAACATGATGAGGGAAGTCTTAGAAATTTAATCAGTAATCTTTGCAAGGGGAGGGAATTATTCTTCCCTATTACATAAGTGAATACTCAAGTGCATTCTGACTTCTGGGTAAGTTTGACCATTGTAATATAATAAAAGCCTTAGGACTTATCTGTCCGTAATGCTCCGGGCCAACTCCGCATGCAGCAAAACATGGGAGGGTATGTAGTGCGTGACTGCAGGGTGCTGCGTGGGGAGTGGGTGTGTGCCCTGCGGCCATGTACCGTAGTCAGCGGGCGCTGCTTGCACCCCCCTGCCCTCTCCCCCTGGGGCTGCCTGCAGCTGTGCACCCATCCCCCGCGCCACACCCCTTCTGTGGCCCGCAGCCAGCAAGTACTCCCCACCCTGGGGAGGGGTGGGGGCAGTGTGGCGTGTGGCCGCAGGGTGCTGCGCAGGGAGCAGGTGGGGGTCACCCCACCCCACGTGCTACAGGCAGCAGGTAATGCCTGCGCCTCACATGCCCCTTCCCTGCGCAGCACCCTGCGGCTGTGCGCTCTGCCATCCCACCCTGTGTACCCCACCACCCACAGCCAGTGGGTGCTCCTGGGGTGAGGGGTGGGGCATGGTGCGCGACTGCAGGGTGCTTCAAGGACAGGGGGGAGCGAGCAGCGCCCGCCAAATGCAACACATGACAGTGGGGTGAGGGTGCATCCCCCGTGCATGCTCCCTGTGTATCACCCTGCAGCCATGCACCATAACCCTCCCCGCATGGAGACCACTTGCTGGCTGCAGGGGGCAGGGTGCGCAGGAGGGGTGGGGCGCGCAGGGCGGGTGGCTGGGTGAGTGTGGGGGGTGTGTGTGGAGGGTGGCTGTGTGTGTGGCTGAGTGCATGTGTGGCATGTGGCTGTGTGTGTGTGTGTGGCATGTGGTGGGTGGTGGGTGGGTCTGTGGCATATGTCTGAGGTGTGTGTGGAAGGGGGGGGAGGTGAATGGGGCTGGACACAGAGAAGGGTGGGAGACGGTTGCATGCTGCCAGATGCAGAATAACAGCATTGCGGGGCTGTGGGTGGTGGCTCTCTGTCCCTGCCACCCACCTGTCATTCTTGATGGGCACTTTGCTAGTATCTTTTATAAAGATATCTAGTTCCATACATCAAGGGATGATGCACTTACTACATCCTTTGGTAAACTGTTCACTAATCATTCTTCACTCTTAAGAATCTGCATCTTACTTATATTTTGAATTTCCAACAACACCTAGTATACTTTTTCCAAGTAGTTACCTATGGGTTTTCATCAAGTCACCTCTTAACTGTCTCAGTTTCAAGTAAAATGAGTTCCTTGCCCATCACAGATCCCAAGCTTAACTCTTTTCCCAGCTGTGCCTGCAGGAGTCAGTAATGGACTCTGTCCCCAGAGATGTCTGGACCTGACCTGATGGGAGAAGAAATCTTTTCCCTGATGCCACTTTTTGACAGCAGGAACTAGTCTGATTAAAAAAAACCAAAACTGCTGAACACTCAGCAATTGGTATCCCCAAAGACTACAAGTTGCCCAGCACTTCAGAAATAGGGCAAATTGGGCTGCATCCAGTGTGCATTTTAATAACCCTGAACAAAAATATGTAGGTTCCTCAAAGACACCTGCTTATTTTTACCTGTTGATGCTGCTACTGCCCCTATGAGCACGGAGGGGATGGCCATTAAAAGGCATCCCAGCCCAGAGAGATAGGAAATGAAACTTGCTTGTCTTGGTGAGGCGGCTGAGAGAATTCGCTGGAAATAAGTTTGAAATGGGATACTTCCAAGAACCTGAAACATGCAAACGTTAATGCAGTCTTCCTAGCCTGACATCACCAACATTATTGTTATGGTTGTCATTATTGACATGGATGCTAGTTTTCCCTTTCATAAAGCTAATCTGAAACTTCCTATTATAAAAATCATGATTTCATTTACATATAACTTTGTATATAATTTTGCCAAATTGTACTCATTAAGGCTGAAATTTCCCTTGCTCAATATTTGCCTTTTTAATTCAACCAGAATCACCAGCTGCCATATAGCACTTGTATCGTATGGGACTATCCAGCAGCACAGTAAATTAATCTACTGCACCTTAATTGCCATGCATATGTAGACAGTGATGCTTTACCATGTGGCAAATTAGTCTGCTATGCAGTAAAGTGTCTCATGTAGACATGCCCTGGGCATCGGAGGGGGAGGAGGTTGGCAATGGGAGCCAGAGGAGATGGAATGGTCTGTGGCCAAAGAGACAAGGATCAGAAACTAAGTGAGGGAACAGTGGGATTGGGAGTGTGTGAGGGAAATGGGGTTTGAGATTATTTGGCTGGAGGGTCAATACCAAGACTGATGAGAAGATGGAAGGGAAGGAGAGAAACTTGAGAACAATATAGGGGCCGAGGGGACAGCTCTGACACAGGTTTAGTGTATGAAGGGAAGTGTGCGGGACTGGGTAGGCCAGTGGCTCTCAGCCCCTTTTAGACCCAAGGCACCCCTCAGTAAATTCAAGCTACCCCTCAATAGTCTCAAGGTACCCCTCAGAAAATGCCAGCTCTTAGGTTTCACTCATTTTTTACTACAGAAAAATAATAGAGGAATTCTTCTGTTGCAAATAACTCATAAAGGCCACAACAGGGTAGAATGATTTTAACTCTATGAATTCCTATTTCAAATCTTTGGGTTTATCTTGTGAATCATGTCTGCATGCCTAACATGGTGTGGCACTCTGTGGCACCCTTAAAAAGATCTCATGGCACCTTGAGAATCACTGACCTAGGCAAAGAAACTAGGGCAAGAAACTGGGCAGGGTGACAGATTAGATGAGGATCTTAAACTGGAAGATGAAGATTGGGAGTAAGTGGGAGAAACGATTAGATGGAGAGCCAGGAGTGGGAGCTGGGACTGGCTGTGCAAGGAGTCTGGGGTCAAGGAGATGGAATACAAAGAATGAGCAAATACCCTAGGAGAGAATGTGAGGGGAAAGAGAGCCTGGGAGTAATAGGGTAAGACTGGGACTTGGTCAGTGAACTTGAAGTAAGAAGACCTGAAACTGGATGAGTGGGAAGAGTTAGGCTATGATGAGAAGCCTAGCACTGGCTATGGGAGGAGTCTGGAGCTGGGCCAAGGAGTAGAAGAGTGCAAAAGAGACAAGACCGGGACTGGGACTGGTGGAGAGAATGGAGCAGAAGGAGTCAAGTTTGGAGAGAATGGGTGAGAGACCGTGTCCGCTTGAGCACACTCCCCTGCAGAGCTTTGCGTGGAACCCAAGATTCCCCTATCTCGTCAATCTCCTGTTATCAGCACACATCCATGAAATACTGGCGAAGCAGATATTCTCCTCCTTCTACTGCTGTTCTACAAAGATGGCAATCTACTAATGCTATGAGTTACTTTGAGAGATCGAGGCAGACAAGGTTCTTTGGGTAAACATGATATCTTTTAGAAGACCAACTAAATAGTTGGAAAAATTGTTTTTTGCAAGCTTTCAGGCACAAGCACCCTTCTTCAGGCAAAGGGAGATTCTGCAGTTGTTGACTTGTCTATGTCCTTAGACCAACACCGCTACAAACAGCACCTCTGAGAGATCAAGTAGTACAGGATTGTGCCCGACCTGGGGAGGATGCATGCAGGTGGCATTATGGGGACATATGATGGAATTTCTGAGGGTTTTTTCAGCTCTCTAAAAATAAAAGGAATTACACACAACTAGGTTAAAAGAATTGTTGAGCACTCAAAAGTTAGGAAATTTCTCATTCAGTGCCCAGAATTGAGCGGTGGTCTCCCCATTCCTGC